GGCCCTCAATTTCAGCGCATATGGAGGAAGTCATGGTGTACTGATAGGTGGCCGTTATTTGGCCTGCCGTTTTGAAGGGGTTCTGGTTGACATTGCCAGGTCGATTCTGCTAGCCAATGGGTAACCCAGAGCGGCAAACCCCTCGACTGAGAAGCTGAGATAATCTTCTTGTGAATGCGTACAGCTAAGAATATGTAAAGTGCTTAAAATATCAAAATGCTAGATCCAAGAAATTTGCCTACAGAAAAGCTGCACTGTTGTGAAGCTTCGTCTTCTTCCTTCGATCGTAGCCTGCAGGACATATTACTTCAGATATTTTTCGGTAGTGGACTCTGATTGGTTCCACTATGTGACGAAATTGGCAGAATGTGCCCCAGCGTGTTGTCACGACCTGTGTTGCTCGCTACTTATCTGCTGCAAACGACTAATTTATGGTGTGTGTAAAAAGCATGGTAAAATTTTATATAGTCATTTTATTAAAAAATCCCGTTCTTGTTTTTACAACTGAAGTCGCTTAGCCTTGCAGGTGGGTAGACACTGCTTACGCTGTAGCTGGAACCGGAAAAAAAGGAAATAAAATGGATAAACCAAAGGACGCGCAAAAAGAGAAACAGGGATCATGACGTACCGTAGAAAATGTTGGTAGAGAGGGGGGGGGGGGAGAGATGGCAGTGATGAAAGGGGACATCGACGTGCGAATTTTCTTATCATACCTTTCTAAAATGTGAGCTCTGGAAACACGCTTTTTGCACTGAACATGCTCTTCTGAAGTGCACGGACAATCCGTGCTTGGTGCTGTTTTCGATGCACCGATTCATACCAAATATCCCGAGCAGAGCATCTTTAGAACGGGACTGGCAGCACTTTTGCTCAGACCGCACTCGCAAATTAGCGACTACTCGTTCGCGCAAGACTTTCTACCAAGCGCATAGGTTGGTTGCTCTCAAGTCATTCCAATGTACAGTATTTTTTCAAAAGCTTAGAGCAACCGCGCGAGTGGCCGGAGCCGGATCGCTCCTTTGCGGCGGGGCTGTTATCGTCGGCGCTCGCTGGCAGCGAGATTTCTAAGTGCGAGGTTGAACTTCCCGCTTGCTATTTTGCGCCCCTTTTTTATCAAGGCAAGTGCGACGCGCGAGTGAAGCTCCCTCCCACTCTCAAAACTCTCGCTGACAGCGAGCGCCGGCGATAGGAGCGCCGCTACACGGGAGCCAGCCCGTTCCAGCGACGCGAGCGGTATGCTCTAGACTTTCGAAAAAGACTGTCCGCAGCGTCCAACACAATATCTCTCTGATGAGCGACGAGGCTCAGCGCCAAAGACCGCATACGATTGACTTCCGGGCAGCAAGCGAAGTTTACTAAGAATCTACTGCAACCGGGCGGTGCAACGAGCAACAGCCAGCGCTCCGCCCCAGCGACGGCCCAGCCCGTCACTGATCGCCAAGTTCTTCGCTTGCCAAGTCGCCTGCGTGATTAAAGTGTCCAAATGCAGCGTGAAACGAAACCGCGACGAGTAAACCACGCACATGTAGCGATACAGAAGACTGCGATGGCCTTGCTGTGTCAACTCGACAATTGCAGAGGTAACACTGGGTAACAGCTACCTTTATTTCTGGCAAAAACGTAAAAAATGTGATAAACTTACATGGCATCTAACGTCTAGGCTTGTGCCTTGTGTCTTGTGTGCCTTGTGTCCTCTACCCATTCACAGCGCAATACTCCATCTTATACTCGGTGCAGCAGCGCAAAACTGCTGACAGGCAATGGCGGACGGGTCGCGTAATACCTAGACAGCGGTGCAGATGCAAAGTTGCCTGAGAGAGTCTATATGAACCGTTTTGCCCTCACTAGCGCCATCTTAAATATTTTGTAGACGTCTAGCGAGGGTCTGGTGCCGCGGCAATGCTGAGTGGTTAGAAGCGTTGGCGAAAGTGCTCTTCAAGCCGCCGCTCCCTCGTTGGGTCAGCTGGTTGGGTTCTCCAAAGTGCTCGGTACCTGACTTATGGCGGGTCTTGTGTTCCTTTGTGCCACGTATGGCGGTTTTCAACTCATTGCGAACATTTTTTGCCCCTCATTATGGCATCCGGGAGTGCGGCTATGCCGAAGAGTGTGGCACTGAACGCGCTACCGAGAGAAATTGCAAGCGAGTACTCAAAATATTGCAGCAGCTAAAAGCGACTAAGTTTCCCTTCGGGATTCTTTTTTGTCTTTTAAATGCAGCACACCGACAATAATTTTGGCGTTTCTTGTCGTCCAAGACAATGAATTATAATGTGAACAAAAACTTAGCGTTTTAGATAATAAAATCGAGTCAATACCAATGTAAAATATTAACATTACGATTAATTATGTTACGAAAGTTGCAAGGAGAAACAGCATTCTCACAATAAAACTGGCGCGCACATTGCGAGCAAACCTTATGTTCATCGAGAGTACAGAGTTAACTTCGCTGCGCGCTTCATTCACAAAATGTTTCCAGCAGACTGGTAAAGATGGCGTTCGAGAAAATTATTTTCGGTTTACGTACACAACCAACTGACGGCGGGAGATCTTGGTCATTTGAAAAGCGGATAAGTTTGAAGGCATTGCAGCCGCAGCTGCATTGCCAGGTCCCGTGCGCGATAGAGATGCCCTCCCATAATATTTTGCAATTTCGTTTGTTATTCGTGCAGTCTTTTACAAAACAATGGTGTCCGCATGACTCTATGATTGCCGTTATTGAATGCGACAGTTCTAATTAAATATGAAATTAAAAAACTGGAGAAAACCACTAGGAAAACAAGCGAACTTTGAGAAACATGCGTCCAAGGCGCTTATCCGGGTCTTCTGCTCGTTCCTAACTAACCAGGAAGGAGGAAAGTGCGTCTAGCCCTTTCCCGTTTTCTCTCTTGACATTTTTCAGTAAATGCGGGCTTCCCGGTTGAATGCTTCGTCAATGCTTCCTGAAAAGGGATTTCCCCAGGTATTCGAATTAGGGGGTGTCTAAAGTTTTATAGAGGGGGGGGGGGGGCATGGAGGAATAGGGAGTCGTTGCGAATTTAGGGGGTGCCTTCAGAAAAACACGGGGGGTGTATACACCTCCCTAGGGGGAGCGTAGAGAAATCACTGTTCCTGAACACTTCCTCATCATCTGTCAAAGAACAAGTGGCTTATGTAGCCATAAGGGAAAGTTTTTATGTTGAAAGTCTCCAAGACCTCCCGCGTGTAGAAGATCTCGAGGGAAGATCCATGTGGGAAGAAACATGTAGACAGCTTTGTTGACTGCCGTATTGGAGTTGTAAATTGCATTCCGCTGTCTCGTCATAAGGGCTGTGTAGGACAAACAGGATGCTACATTAATGACAGATATAGGAAGCACAGCAACTTTCTTCGTACAACTACGTGTGGACGTTTAGCAGGCCACTGCCGAAAGTGTGGGCGCGCCTATTTTTGAAAATACAAATGTTTTAGAACGATTTGAAGAGCAGACATCGCGGGATGGCGGGATGTCTTGGAGGTCTTCGATATAACTACGAAGGGTGATGGCTGCATAAGCCACCCCTCACATCATTTGACAGCTGCTAAAGAAGCGTTCTTATCGGCAACAGTGCCAAGCGAGCATTATGTTTTTTTTTATGTTTATAGATTATAAACGGGGGATGGGGGGCGCTATTCAACAGCGCATGCGCAACCGGCGAAAGAACTATTATTTGTTTTTTTCTGAATTCCTATTAAAACTCCAGTTATGAATAAGCGATTGTCTGTAGTACCAGTCCTCTCTTCTGCCCTTGCTTTTGCGTATTGTTTTTTCTTCTAAAACCGCTACCAACTAGCGCAGCCTTGAGCCCTACATCAAAGGTTTTGTCCACTCCGTAGAGTTCCCATTAAATCATATCAGGAGCGTATTAGAAGCCGCCTGTAGGAGTATGGAAGTGCAAAACCCTCTCAGCGCAGCTTTCAAGCAATTCAACCAAATCATGTGGAAATATAGGTCGTTGTAGTTTATGGGAGAAGCAAAAAGCTTGTTGAATAAAAACAGCGTTAAACGTTTATACTTTTTCCTCGTCAAATACGATATTTTATTGACTTTCCTTTGCGTCTCAGATATAGAGATGACAAATTAACGCGTGCACGCAGAAGAAATTGCGCTTTGCATTGGTTCGCGCCAATCATTCAGCTGCCTTCCCGCCGTAGACACGATCGCTGCAGTTGTATGACTTGAGGCTGGCTTTGTGCTCCCAGGGCCTATAGTTGACCACGGCTGTACAGATCATATAAGGCTGCAAAGTAGAAACAGACACAGAAAACTTCAAAGGAAAGCACTAAGAGCCGGTACACATATTATAACACTTGACTAATAGGGGGGCTCGCAGAATGCGTTTCAAGGGGTTAGTGTATCGTTCCGGTAACTCCGTTAACAATATCCGATACCCCTCCGGCTCCTTTGCAAGTGCATCATATTGGTATCGGGTATCGTCATCGGAGTTATCATAACGATCTGTTAAAATATCCTTATGTCCGGTTCGCTCTCATGCTATATTACATGCAGCTGTTTACGAGTTCTTCGACAAAAGTAATCCTTCACAAGTACAACGACCCTTGGTTAAAAGTATTCAATATCACTCTTCCGACTACTTGAGATTTTCAAAAACGACAGATATTTCTACCGGTTTGAAAACGAATCTTTTTGTACTGTCTAATATTGAAATTGAATCACCGAACTATAAACTGCATTGCCAAGACGAAATATTAACAGATTCAAGTAACTTTTCGACTTTCAAAAGTATTCTGATATTTATTGTAGTTCTTTCCTAATAAATATACTCAACTGAAGACAAAATTGTCCCAAATGTCAAGAATTATAGGTATTTTGATTATTCTTGTAATGAGTAAAGCTCCAGAAATTGCGATGGCATTCAGTCAGCAAGCGCATTACGAGAGAGCTGTATGGTATTAAACATTATTAAGAGAAAATATAATTTCAGGTTTATATTGCTTGCAACAATGAGACACAAATCACCTATATTAGACAGTCTAAATCAAGGCGAAATTAAAAAAAAAAAAATTTCCGAAAGAAAGGGTCGCATACTCACAACATCGACCTTGAGGTAGCAACGTTCCCTGCTGTACGAGTCCACTCCAATCACGCAGTCGGATTCAGCAACTTTCATCTTAAGTTTGTAGTCCACACCCACAATTACCTGCAAATATATGACAAGAATATTATGAGATTTCGTAGCTCATGAACGCGAGAAAGTCTAAAGCTCCAAATAAAGTTTCTTACACGGGAAGGATGATGAGAGCTTTCAATTTAAGTTCATTATATCTCCACGCTGGAGCATTTATGTGTATCTTGAAACTCAGATACTGATGATCTCTCATTGAAACCTCTTCCTCTAAAAAGAATATCAGCGTCTCACGTACAACATTAAAGCCGTGCATTTTTTTTTTTTTAGATAAACAACAAATTGCAAAAATGAAAGTTAGACTCCAGTGAACCCGAAATTGCGCTGGTCCTGTGATCACCCATTGCTTCCAATTTTTCTTGTAGAAGGCGTGTTATTAATACTTCTATATGCCATCGCGCTGCTTGACAACAAACTCGCGTTTTGCCACAGCAGTTGTGCGCACCCCACGTCACGTGATCCAAACTGGCGTGGGGTGAAGCACCTGCGCATACGCAGGACCGACAGCAGCGCCACCGCAGTGGGGTGACTTCAGACTAGCAGTCTTGTACGCACTTTTTCGAAAAGGTAAGCGATTGCAATTACAATTACTCTTGGTTAGAAAGTAGCCAATTAGATCACTTAGATGACTCAGCAGAAAACTAATAGACCGTTATCTGAAAAAGTAACCGTTACTTTACCGATTCCCTGGGTTTTCTTAAACAATATTTTGGCCGGTTTGAAAATATTTTTTTTCCTTGTATTTTTTTGGTATTGTATTACAATCACCGAACCATAATATAGTTATGTTCTTAATCCACAATTGTGGTAAATCTGTGTCCTTCACTTCGAGGCTGGTTCGACGAATCCTTGGTAGACACGTGAACAACCGAGAAGCGCAATAAAAAAGAGGAGGGAAAATAGTAACTGTTACAAGTACTTCAAAAAGTGAAGACTTTTGAAAATGCTTATTAATTCATAATAATTATATTTATACGATTATGAAGTTTCTTCAAAAAGTAGTCGGGTGCAAGTAGGGCTTGGCGTCGGTTAAAACATGTAACCGACTAATCGTCATGCTTTAATAGATAAATAATAGATTTTTAGGTCTCGTACATTTCTACGCAAAATGATTCTAAAAGTCCAAATGAATTAATTTTGTTTTAATTTTGTTGACCGTGCGGTGGAGTGCCCAATGTAAAACTGCAATTATGAAACAACCTTGAGGCGTACTCTAGAAGGGCTCAAAGACACTCACACTCATAGATGATTACTTCAGCTGCACGAGGCAAAGAACTTCTTTGATATGCTCCGGCAAGAGCGACTTCTATTGTCACTATAATCTCCGCTGCACTAAACAGACACTCGCGCGGCAATAAAGTGTCAGGGACACGCGTAACCTTCTAAACTTGTCTGAAGCTACTAATCCAACCCTTACAGTTTACTTTAGGTTAAAAGTTTACCTAATGATGTCCTTCTTACAGGTGTGCTCGTCCACGTCTGCGTGGTGAATGCGTTTAAATTTTACTCTCTTTCGCTTCGTCCAAATTTTCCCGATTAACCGGTTAAAGTATTATCCTCGATTAAACCCTTAATAGATTCTTCGGCAGGTTGACCGATGAATTTTCTAGCCCTAGTTACGCGTAGTTTCATTACATTTAACGAGTACCATACAATTTCGCTTGGGAGCCGCATGTTGGTCTTTAGATGATGTCTGGAAACTGGTAACATCTTTAGGACACGTTACCTGAGACTCGACGCTCATAAGGTTCATGAGGGTGTCAAAGTTGGTCCTGTCCTCGACTTGAGAGGAGATGGCGAAGTGTGCCCACTCTTTGTAGCGGGGGTCCATGTCCGGTTGGTGTTTCCTCCAGACCCCGGGAAAGTCCGAGGAGACACAAACGACGCCGAGGACGACAAGGAGTGCTGTCTTCACGATACTCATCTCGGAATGACTCTGGCGTCGAACAGTGAAGCTGCGGTACTCTTTCGAGATCATTTATACCGTCTTTCATTAATATCAGGCGGTGCAATAGCATTGTTGCTTCGTTATCAGTGATACAATTGGAGGCATGTGAGCTTCTAATTTCATTCGTCCATGTACAATGGAAACACTTGACTGCAGAATAGTATCATAGATTATCCAAATGCATCCCCAAGATGTTCACAGCCACTGAACCTTATCAATACAATAACAGGTAGCGCTGCTGTGGGCCTGCCGCATGTGCGCTTCATCTGACGCCGATATGGCAGCTGCGCATGCTCAGTGCCTACACACGGCGTTGCTAAACATGGGCTTTCTTGTAAACAGCGCGTTAGCGTTTTACCTTATGAATAACACAACTTGCAAAGGGAACAGTGGAAGTCACAGGCGATCACAGACGGTTGTAATTTTTACGTGGGGTAAATACTTGAGTGCCAGCTAGCCGCAACACTAAATGCGATGTCTGCGTCGAGCGTTGCGCGCGTTTCTGAAACATTTACTTAAGGAGTTAATTGTTTTAAGGCATCATGACGGTTCAGTTGTGATAAACAAAATTACAAGAAAAATATAACAAAAATGGCCGTCGCGATTAGTGCATGATCAACGGAACATATAAGAATAAACTAATGCTTACTTTTTTTATTTTCGTTTATCGACCGTTCTTAATCTCTGGTTTGCTGGAGCCTAACATTCATGTGTTTTTTTTTTAATTTGGTGAATATTTAAATTAGTGAAAGGCTATAATATTTTTCGGTGAAGCTGAGATTCTCTCTAGAAGAAAACGCTTCAGTGGGGAATCATTGACGTCTGAATTCTGAGACACATGTGATCTTTATACAGATATAAATGAAGTGCTGTAAACGCTCTCACAATTCTTTGCATTTATGTGAATGTGCCACATTTTCATTTAGTGTTTTCATTTTTTTCGCATTTATAAACTGTCAAATGGCAGGATGTTGTGCTTCAGACATGTGTTTTTTGACACACTCCCCACCCCTGTCTCCCCTCGCCTGCGTAGTTTTTAAGTATAAAAATTCAGATCAACATGTTTGCACAAGTTCGAAAATATTGCTTTATTCCATGTGATCTGAAATTTTAAAAAAATCACATAAAATTTAAGCAAAATTTCTACAGTTGTCGCTTTATTTCATTTCTAAGTACGTCTTACAGAATGTTTAAGAGTTTTGTGTTATCTGCAATCAAAAAAGTCAGGTTCAGAGGCTGACCTTGCAAGAAAATGAAACAATCCCATAATGTGTGATGCATTTTTGCAGTCGACTGCTTTCTTTCATGGACGAGCAAAATAAGAAGCTCACATGCATCCAAGAGAGCGTAAAAATTAGCTAACCAAACGACTTGCTGCAACTTTTCATTTTCGGAACGTAACAAATTGAAAACGCAAAAATATAAGTAATCTGGCATCCAACAGATTTTACTAATTTTACTTAAAGGGGCACTGACGCCCCAAAGGTCGTATTTATTTTTATTGTCTAAAACGATGCAAGTTGTAGTCATAGACACGCAAAAAAAACCGCATCGCGAAAAAAAAGTTTCCCGCGCGCGCGCGCGCCTTTTTATTTTTGGCGTTTGATTTTCCCGCCTCTCGCCTCCTCGCTTCTTTTGATCGGTGACGTCAAAAAATCAGGAAATTTAGAAGCTTTGTAGGCGACATCTCTATAACATTTAATTACGGCAATCTTAAAACATGTTTTTTAACGCAATTGCGAACGCACTACGGCCCTTCTTTTTGAAATACCAAAAATCGGGAGTTCGTTGTGGTGCCGTCTCCTGGATTTGTATCCTCCAACGGAAAACAGGCGACACCGCTCAAAACCGGTCCGCCGCAACGCCGGCGCTAGCCGGCGCTCGCTCCTATCCTCCTCGCTTTGGGTCGCCATGGCAACAGCAGGGAGTGGTGACAGGAAAGTGGACTCTCAGGTCTCCTCAATTTTTGACGTCAAGGCACCGGCGCCGATCGCGCGGGAACTTCGAATTCGGCATTTGGAAATTGTTTTTTTACTTCACGAATACTGAATTCCCAAATCTCAAATTTTGAGGGTAATGTCCCGGCATCGTTTTCAATTGTTTCGGATAATAAAAAAAAATATGATTTTGATGTGTCAGTGCCCCTTTAAGGTCGTACCCTTTAGAAAGCGAGGGTATATTTCTTTACGCACCACATCCTGTCTAGCACAACGAGAGAAAGCATTTATTCAGCGTGAAAACGATGTTTCAATAACTTTTCTTTTGAATACAGCGGCTAGCGCCAAATTCCTTCATCTTCGAGATGAACTCTGGGCAGAATAGACACTCCTCAAACACGCTCGGCCTTTTAGCAACTGCTGCGTAAATATACCTCTCGCAAAATGGAAGCGATTCTATCGCCGTAGTGCCGCGGAAAGCATCTTGGGAAATCACCGATCACGGTATCAGTTTCGATTTGCCTACCTCGTTTCACAAAAACCCGTCATGAACAAATACAGCGGGTGCATATCCGAAGTTGCGAATTTTCTTAAATTTAAAAAAATGTACGATTTAACTGCTAATGCAAATAGAACACGTATCTCAGGGGGCTACCAAAGTACCAAAGTTTGCATGTAGGTAAAGAGGAAGACATGTACTGAGCTGATCAGCCTATTTCATTGTATCAATGACCTGGGCTTCTTAAATGATCCGTGACCCGGAAGAGTCATACTGCACTCTGGAGTTGTAATTAAGCTGCAAGAAAGGTATTGGGACGTAGGCCGGCTGCAGTTCTACTCCTGGCTAAGTCTAGGCAGGTCCTACAGGCCGATTGAGGTCGGTGTTTCAACAAGGGTTTTAAGAATATGAATGGGTGCAATAAGCGAGCGCTATCTTTAGTTTGTCTTGCCTTCTGTGCAAACTCGTGTACGAGTTTGTACAAAAATTTGTACATCTGTTTTTATTGTTTTATACATTTGTACAACAAAAGTATACTAGTGCGTATTTTATATAAAATGCGTAAAATTTGTGCAAGTTTGTGTAGAAATTTGTACTCAAATTTTTAAACATTTGTACACAAATTTGCCTTGTGTACAAAAAAATGTACGTGTGTATTTCTTTTTAGAGCGGAGCTCTTAGCCGGCCGTTTCCGGCTTGAGCGGCGTCGCCGTCGCCATAGGCGGAACCGCGCGCTCCATTCCGGGAAGTTTCCCATGTTCACGTCACACATTTCGTCACGTGACGCCACGAGGGCCACGAGTGACGTCACGAGGGTCACTAGGGTCACAAGTGACGTGATGTCACAAAGGTCGCGCATGAAGCTCACAACGAAGGTCACGATCATCACAGTGAAGGTCACGACATTGACGAGGCCTTCGCGAGTGACATCAAGAGGTGGAGGGAGGGAGGGGGAGAGGAAGGGAGGAGTGGGCGGAGAATCAGAGGACGAGGAGGAAGAAGGATCATTGTTTACGTGACCTTGTTCGGCTCTAAGCTGCAGCATAATTAACGCCCGCTAATGTCAGCAGAGAGAATGAGAGGAAGTGTACTCCGAGAGAGCACACGGGAACCTGCACGGCACCTCGAATTACGTCATTAGGAGTGCGACCAGGTGTGACCCTGAAGACCTGGAGTGAGTTGAGGGGTGCCAGAAATCCCAATATTTTTCTTTATTTTCCCACAACTTCGACACGCCTTTGACACATCTTTACTTCAGAAGTGACAAAGGGCAACTTCCACATATTTTGACCGATGTCCGGAAGTCCGTTGCACGCCCGCTTTAATCTCCACTTTATTTTATTCAACTCGTGGCTGACGGGCTGGCAGGCGCACTTGCGTACGAATTTTTACCATTCTGTACAGCCTTGGTACGCCACCCAGGATCACATTTTTTGGTTTGCAAATCAATATGATAATATTATTAATGATGAATTTGTCAATCAATTTATATAATAATCAACTTTGAAATAGATGCATTTGTGAATAAGTTCAATACTATTATTATTATTATTAATAATATTATTGTAGCTGAGAAGTACTTCGTAAACGCCATCATCAAAATCGTGACTATGCCACTCTTCTCCATGAATAGAGTGTAGTACACGCCACCGTGGCCTGAGAGCCACCATAACGCAAAGCGCACAGTGTTGCATGCAGGAGTGCTTAAAAGTAGCATATTATCAGAGTCCACCATGTCTTTCTCCTTTTTTTTCCTTTTTTTTTTTTTGGGGGGGGGGGGGGGGTGGGGGGGGAGAGGGGACTTGCTCTGATTTTGTATTGAACACGACGTCTGCGTTGGCGTTCGTTCAGGTATTGGATTCAATCACACGATTCTTGCCCAAAAAAATGGACACGGCTAATGTTCCTTTGGAGGGTTTGAAAAGGGTTCATTGCGGCAGGATTTCTAATTGCTGTGAAAGCACTTAAGTCAGCTGACTTCTTGTAGTAGTCTAATATCTCCTAAAATAGCGGCCGGGGTAGTTATCACCTACTAATGGTAAGTTTAAAGAGCGTCACATATTTAGGAATCTTTTCAATTGTGTTCGTAAATCTACTAAATATAAAAACGCAAAAAAATATTCGCCGTTTTCAGTGGAACTAAAACAATATTCCGATAATCGTCGTTACCTTTCACAGATTGTACAAGTCCATGAAAGGCGACGAGTTCGACTCACACAATGCCGTTTTCATGGGCGTATCAACCTGGGCATTGTCTCCGATGAAAGATGCCTGAAATCTCAACAAGCGCTCCATGCTCGAAACCTTACTCGGGACAAAGAACTTTGAAAGATTTCGAGAACGCGGTGAAACTATTCTACGAAAACAGCTATTAATAGTTGCATGAGCGTAGAAAACCTATTGTGCTGCATCAGATCTCTCGATTGGATCGCGCACTGAAGGTGCCGAGGCAGTTTCCATAAAAGTAGGCCTAGCAAGATACCGCTCTTGCTTCACTCGACATCAGACTGAACGCAAGATGAGTCTCCCGAAGGTAGGCCTCGTTTGCTTCGCTGCCCCTCCGCTCTCCTCGGCCTTTCC